AATGTAAACTAATTTGGTTAACTACACAAAACAGTCTCAATGAGCTACCAAATGAAAATAAAAATACTTAATTACACAAATTAAACGCAAACATCATGTGCAAAACAAAGAATCTTGTTATAAATAAAAGTAAATTTTCCTTTTAAAAGTGCTCAACACTAAAATAAGCTTTCAGTAAAATGCTTTGGAACTTTGTTCACTTCCATTTCTTCCATCAGTTACAGACATTCAGTCTGTGACTATCACAGACTGAATGTCTGTGATAGTCACACAGACATCGGCCTGTTTATTGGAAACAGGCCGATTCCAATAATCGGCCTGTTTTGAACTCATTTAATAAAATTTTTCATTTCATTCACCCACTATTACATTTGAATAACTAAAAGAAATCATAAATGTAAAGGAACAGAAAGATAAACTTATAATATCTGCCCCCCTATTCACATAAATTTAGCTGTTCAACTATTAAAGGGTCTCCTTTCGTGTAATATCAGCCTGGCAGGCCACCAAGCTTTTTTTGCACCCCCACCCGTCTAACACGGTTTGTTTATCTATTATCCTTTTGTTTTTTTATACACCACTAACAGTGACACTAGAGTCTCTTTGAAATGGTTGGAAGCACAATGGCAACATTTTTAATTCACCACTGCCTCTCATCACCAGTCTACATGCAAACTACTTTAGCGAATAAAGTAACATATTTCAAAGACAAATTAAATATGTTTGAAATGTTTGAAATATGAAGAAAAAAAATGACAACAAACATTAGCTTATTCTTCACTTTTTCTGTGTTTCAGGACAACAACATCACGGAGGTTAACACCGACACCTTCTGCAAGTCCGACAACTCCTACTATCTACGTCTGAGCCTGTCTGAGGTCCGGATGGATGGGAACCCGGTGGTGCTGTCCAAGTACCCCGACAGCTTCACCTGCATGAAAGTGCTGCCTGTGGGCCGGTACCGCTGAGGAGAACCAATGTCCCAAAGACTCACTTTAAGGCCTCTGCAGCAGAACGGTTCTGGTCCGGTTAGTGTTGTCACTTTAACGAGCAGCGATGGGTCCAGCTCGGCTCGGTTCCCCTCCTGACTCTAAAGAGATTCTCTTAGACTTTAACAATAATAGTTCTGGACCAACAGAACCTTCATCTTAGAACTGGACCCAAAATAAAATAGAATTTATTCTGCATGACGAACACTTCCTGTTCACCAGAGGATCCCCGCTCATTCGTAAAAAAACAGGCTTCTTCGTTTACTTCTAATGACTTCCCAGGTAATAACAGGTGAATTTTCTCTTCTAGTCTAATCTAATTCAATCTAGATTAATTGTCGTGGTGATCCTTTGTCAACTAAAAATTTTAAGATGTTTCCCTCCGGATGCAACGCTGGATAAATGAGCTGGACCGTGAATAATTCAAGCATCCGACTCGTCTGCATTGCAGACAACAGTGATGATGATGATCTTCTGTAACTTGACTTCAGTTTGTTTTCTAATTTATGGTCCAGTTGAGGTGAGCTGGAGAACATGTATCTATGAGCTTCAGTAATGTGAAAGTTACGCTCGTTTTCACTTTTTTTCCAGGTAAATAAATCTTTGTTTATAATAACTGATGTGAATAAGAGGAGCTGTACAGAAGGAGGAGTGTGTAACATGGCTGTATTTGATATGTTAATAAACTGTTTTTGATTACAGTCAGTCTTGCTTCGTTTTTATCATGTCACATTTATTGACAGGATGAAGAACCACAAGTTTATTATAAAACTAACAGCCAGTGCTGCAGTATGTCGCCATACATTAGGACAAACTCTGGTGGACAGATGTTTCAGTGATATATGGCCATCGTTTCTTTGTCTCCAGTTTGCAAAAACATGGTCTTAGGTTTTGAGGTGAATCCTTCCTCATCTTTCATCAGTTTGGCACTGAAACCATAATTCACCAACAACCTGTTCAACTTAAACCTGAGCTCACCGTCAGAAACTTTAAACAGTTTTAGCTCCATAAACCGGGTCTGCAGGATCTGCATACCAGAACCAGAACAGTTCGGCCTGCCACTGCAACAGCTTGTGTTGGTTGATTAATTGTCCCAGACCTAATTGCAATAAATGATATTGTTGATTTGAGACCATTTAAAGTAACATAATAAGTGATATAATAATGCAAAATCACATACAACAAAGACCATAATGAAAATTTGAGACTGGAAGACATTTTAAATATCCAAAACAAATAAAACAACAGAAACAACAAATATGAAGCCTCTGCAAAACAAAACTAAACAAAAAATCTATCAAAAAAGGGCTAACTGAGACCAAAACACCAGACTGAAGACTTTTGTCAGTCTTTGATAGAAAAATAATAAATCATGCAATTAATTGTTTAAATCTATCATTTGATTAACTGATTTATTGCTTATTGCAACCGCACCACAATCATCCAACCGGGTGATGTAGAGCTGCTTTGATGTAATATTTTCTTGGCTGTTTTTCTTGGCTGTTATATTTCAACTGTGGTGAATTCAGTTTCTGTCTCTCAATATAGGCTATAAAAGTAAAATTAAATTACCATATCTCCACAGATGATACACAGCTCCACATTACAATGTCACCAGGTGACTGAATCCATTTATTTAACAAACAAAACACTTATATAGCACTTTTCAACCTCAGAAGGTTTCTTGAAGATGCTTTACAATGAAATCAGTCGCTTCCATTCATACACACATTCACACACTGATGAAGGTAAGCTCCTGGATTGTATTCACAGCTGTAAGGCTGACATTTTGCACCATTGGCCCTTCTGAACAGAAACAAAAACTTATTTTCTTTGGACCTACAAAAAGACAAGTCAATGCACAGCTTCAGTTATCACAGCTATAAACTAGCAATCAGACACAAACTCTGGGTGTTGTGATGCACTCTGACCTGAACCTTCAGAGACACATAAAGACAGTTATAAAGTTGGCCTTCAATCACCTGAAGAATATTTCTACAATTAGAGGACTAAGGAAGACCAAGAGAAACTCATCCATGTATTGATTAAATTGATTATTGCAAGTAGGTCATAGGTCTGAATAAAAGAAATCCATCAGCCAACTGCAATTGATCCAGAACACTTCTGCTGGCGTTCTCACTAAAACCAGGAAGATAAGCCCAGTTCTAAAGTCCCTACACTGGCTCCCTGCAGCTTTGAGAATAAACTTGTTAGTTTATAAATCAGTGAGCGGCTCAGCACTAAAAAACATCAAAGATCTGCTGCAGTCATAGCAACCTTCCCAACCTCTCAGGTCTTCTGCTTCTGGGGATGCAGAACAGAACCAAACATGGAGAAGAAGCACACAGATCTGGAACAAACTTCCAAAAAAAAAAAAACACAAAATAGCCAAAACACCAAGTTCCTTTAAATTAAGGCTAAAAACCTACCTGCTTAGAGTTGCTTTGATTAGTAGTAACTGGAACATTGATCAACATATTTTATGTGTATTTGCTTCATGAAATTTAATGACAGCATTTAACAAAATGTAATGTTTATTGCTGATTCATTGTAAAGTGTATGATGTTTTATGATGTAAAGCACTTTGAACTGCCTTGTTGCTGAAATGTGACTTTAACTTGACTTAATAACACACTGCCTGTTCAAACAACCATGAAGACATGAACTGTTCCAGAAGGGTCTAATCGTTGGCATCAAATAAAGAAAACATCTGAGAGTAATAGTGTGTTGAAAAGTTTGTTAAAAAAAAATTAAAGTAGGGAATTGTTGTCTTAAAGGAAAAATTCTTGACTGTGCCTGATTGAAGAAGAAACAGCAGTGTTTTACTTAGAGCATTTTTACATTAGCAAGATGAAAGGTCAAGAAGGATTCAGGCCTGACCAGCTTTAATCACTGAAACCAATCAGGAAAAATGGGTTTAGTTTGACGGGGAGCATAAAAATCAACCAATGAAACAAGATCCTGAAGAAAATGTGTCTCGGTTCCTATTGATGGATGAAGCAAAAATAACACTGCAGTCACATGTTTTCCTGATGCGTTGCAGCCCAGATTAGAACCAGAATGCAGTAATGTGAGAACACCAAACTGAAAACACCCATTAGCTGCATCAGACGGCTCTCATCAACACAAGCCGTTAACATGTCTGCGCACCTGAGAGGGAACATCAATATGAGCAGCGCTGCTGAGGCTCATGAAGCCTGAGGTTGATAGCTTTGGTCTGTTTAGCGCTGCCGTTCACCAGCAAGAAAAACATTTAACACTTTCCATATAATTCATTTATTCTGTTTATTTATTTAACCGGTTTTAAGCTGAATTTGTCTGGCTGTTATTATGGTATGGAGAATGTTACAGCTGGATATTTACGATGAGGAATGACATTTTCCACAGAAACCCTGAAGCAGACGCAGATGAAGCTAAACTGCAGTGTTTGTAGCACGCGGCCCAGTATGGAAAATGTGTGTTAATCGTCCTGCGGTCCTGCCAACTGGGCTGGACCGCCGACTCCCCGAGTAAACAGGCCAATGTGTTCCACACCACCGCCGCCGCCGCTTGGTGTGTTATTTGGCATTTTGCTGCAGCCTGTCCAGCACTGTCCCGCCCTGACATTTAGACTGGTGTCGCTAATTAACACCTACGGCTCTTTTCCTTTTCATCATCTGAGCAACACGAAATACAAGCTTCTGCAGAACCTAAAAGGACTAAAAACAAGCTGCTGGACTACAGAGAGCCTCAGTGAGTCAGATAACGGCAGAAAACCAAACAAACCCAGTTGTTTGCGGATGCCTCAGACATCCATCAGAATGACGAACAGAACCTGGAGCAGGTTCTGCTGTCATAAAACCGTTTGAAGAGGTAAACAATCTGAGCAGATGTGCATCTAATGAACATCTGGTTCTCCACTGGAGAAAATTAAAACAAAAGCAGAAGAACCATTAATATCTAATAACCCAGAACCAGGACCTTTGTAGATCAGTGGGAGGTTCTGGTCTGTCCAGTTCTGCTCTGACTCACCTGGAAGTGCTGAAAGGTTCTGTTCCGATCGTTGCATTTCTCTGAGAAACTCCTCATGGTTCTGAAGAACAACAGGAGGTCCCGGGTCTCCTCCACCCTGAAATCACAGCGCATGGTCACAGGAAGCAACCATAAACAGCCAGGCTGCCTCTCATCTCAGCTTAAATCGTTTTGTCTGTTTGCTTCAAAGCGACATCTTATGATGTCACAAACTGACTGCAAAGATTAAACAAATTAAACGCACAAAAATAAAATACAAGAATCCAGACACTTAATTTTCAACTCCAAAAACAGCAAAAATAACGTTTCATTTGTCTGACTTTTGTTTTATTGGAAATAATTAAACTTCACAGAATATCAAGTTACAGCATCTGTAAAAAATATTCACCCTGTTGGATGGTTTACCCTTTTTATTGCTTTTACAAATCAATTATGATCAACAAAATTGGCCAATTTTGATAAATAAGTGTATAACAAAATTTCCTCTCATGCCAAATGATTTCTAAAAATGAAATAAAAATATTCAATTTAGTACACTTTTCTGTGCCAATTGACTTTATAAAAAATACTTCAGTTAAATCATATGTCCATTTAAAAAAATTCTAGTTACAAATCAGAGCATTAAGCTCAATTTATGATTCAAATTAGTTAAAAAGGGTTATGTCTAAGGAAACCCAGCAGAGAATCGAGTCATTAATGCTGCGTTCACTCCTCCTGGACCAGCAGGGGGCGAAAGTGGAGAGGAAAACCTCCTCTTTAACAGGAAGAAACCTCCAGCAGAACCAGAACCAGGTTCAATATGAGAGAAAACATCTTAAAATCTGATTCCTAGAAAGTCAACATGACTATAGTTAAATGTGCAGTTATTTTTTATGGTCCAATATAAACCTTTAACCTAGTAGAAATATGTTTGCTCTTTTTAGTGTTGTTTTTCTCTTCTTTTGTTTTTTTTAAACAACAACCTGCCTGTAAGACTACAGATGATCCACATTTACCCGGCTCACCTTTGCACAGCTACTTATATACGTGTGATTGCGTACACACCTTGATCACCTTAAAATAATCAAACCTGTTGATAATCAGCAGGTTTGAGTTAATCTGCTGATCCAACCCTGTTTTCTTCTTTTAGCGAGAATGAAATTACCCCATAGATGCATTTCATGCACTGCGGTGCACGGATCAATGCGTTGCATCTTAATGAGACAAAAACTGAGAAAAGGTACTATTTACATTCGAGCGAGGTTTTCACACTTTTATTTTTATCATCTTTATTTTGTGTGCGTGTTACCTTATTGTCTGAGGATAAATGTGGTTCAGTTTTATTGTTTACGTTTGAACAATAACATATTAAAATTATGAAAAAACATCGGGTTTGATGCTTCTTGGTCTAAATAACACCAAATGACATCAGATTCCAGTGAATTTAGGTGAATTTTGACGCTTTGTAGTTTGATATTGTCCACAGAAAAAGCCAGCGTGGAAATGTGCCGCACATTTTCACGCCAGTGAAAAAGTGTGCATATATTTACACAAACATTGACGCAAAGTTCATTTTTTAAATGCTGACTTGTGCGTAAAATATGCCGCTGCACATTTTTGGTGCGCACGTACGCTTTATCCATGAAGCACCAGATCTTTAGGAATTCAGCCTGAACTTGTTTTATTGCTAACATTTTAGTATAAAGCAGATTCATTTCTGAATCATCCAGATCAATACAGATTAGAAAATGAGAAATAAAATCGGTTTCTTCACTGACGCTGCGTATGACAGGGCAGAAACGTCTAGGTCTGGTGCAGAGTGTGACGGAGCCTTGGACCTTCTGGTGAAGGATTTCCAGAGTTTTCCGAGGGGGCCCAGGCCTAGACGGCAGCCGGGTTAAATTTCCAGATGACTGTTATTCGGCACAGAGTCGATGGAAACATGGCAACAGTCTGACTTCTAATGCAGCACTATCAGAGAGGCAGACGGAGACAGAGCGATCCCAGTTTGATAGCAAAAGGACTGACTGGTTGAACCGGGTCAGGAGAAAGAGATGAAATCTTCAGCGCGGAATGAAATAAAACACCGGGAATGTTGAGCAGATTAATCTCGATGGGACTGAATGAAGACGTGAGGAGGTTTTCCTGGATTTCAGTTATATCGTCACAAGGAAACAAGAAAACTCTGTAAAAGGACGGAGCTCTAAAGAAAAAAATTACATTTCAAAGCAAATCGACATCAACCAGCTGACAAATTAGGGTCAATCGTATTTTGCTGAAGCCAGAAGTTTACATATGCCCAATAAAAATATTGTTTTTATCCACTTTTTTCTCATTGTCTATTTGCTAAAAGTCATAATGATGAGTGAAAATGTGCAGGACAAAATCCAGAGACTTTGTGAAAATGCAGCTGATGCTGGTGAGTCAGAGTCACTGTCCACAGTTTAATATATTCTGTACCGATATGGGCTGAAAGGCCGCTCAGCGAAGAGGAAGCCATCACTCCAGAAGAAACATAAAAAGCCAAACTAACAGGAACAAAGATCTTCATTTTTGTAAACATGTCCTGTGGTTTGATGAGACTAAAGTGGAACTGTTTGGACACAATGACCATTGTTACATTTGGGGGAAAAACAGGATATATTTGATGGTGGCAGCACCATCATAGTGGTTTGTCACAGGAGGAACTGGTTCACTTCATATAATAGATGAAATCCTGAGGAAAAAACCTTATGTGGAAAAACTGCAGCAACATCAGCATTTTAAGAAATGGACAAGAACTCCATGAAACAGATGCTTTAACCCAAATCATCCAGTTAGAAGGTAATGTTAACAAATACAGAGCAGATGTATGTAGATTTCTGATCTTGTAGACATTAGTGAGTATACCTGACAAATTCTTTCTCTTACTGTAGAAGTTTTTAAAAAGTATAAATAATTCTGGTGAATCTGACTTGAACCAAAAAATTCTGATTTAACTTCAGTCAGAGAGAAAGAAAATGTAGATGCATCTTTTAATTTGGTGTATGTAAACTTGTGGTCCTAGAGTTGTGCAGCGTTCTGGTTTCGGATGTGTGTAAACTTCTGCTTACAGGTATGTATAAACTTCTGGTTCCAGGTCTGTGTGGCATTTTCGTCTCTGCAAAGAGAAACTAAGAACAATTAACATCTTTGTGAAAGGACCGAGGTGGCACAGAGGGGTTGAAGTCGACCCAATGCTGAGCAATCAGGCTCCACTCATGAAAGGGTAAACAGGCTTCAAGACCTAATAGTGTATTGCTGACGAGACTGTAATCCCAGATTAAAACGAGCAAGATCATTAGTCATCATCATATGGAGAATAACCAGTCACCATTGATAATGGAGGAGGAACCTTTGGTTTCCACCAAGCTGTTAGCCGTCTGGTTCACTGATGAAGGATTGATCTCCAGATTACAGATTAAAACCCATCAAAGAGATGTCTCTAAACTGTGGCTAAAAGCAAGAAAGAAGATGAAGAGTGGAGGAGATGCTGTCCATCCTCACCCACACTCCTAACAACACACAGAGAGTTTTCAGAGAGCTGAACAATTTATTTAAAACACCTGGGAATGAAATAATTCAATAAAACCTCGGCAGAGTAGTTCAGATCATAAAAAGGTTCAACATGTCTCCTTTAAAAGCTTCCAGCTGAAGCTCTGCCTTCAAATAGAGATGCAATCGAACATATTTTAAACTAATTGAATTTTAATGAATGGAAAGTTTATTCACAAGCATTGTTTTCCCCTCCTGCTCAGTACCAACGGTCACTAAATTAGATCAACATCAGAAAGATCCACATCAGAAAGATCCACATCAAAAAGATCCACATCAGCTTGGATAAAGTGGGAAATAATCTTGGAGGAGGAAACCCACCCTGACCTTAAGAGAAACTCATCAGTAACACCTGAACCCGGACGGATCCACCAGAGATGGTCCATCTGGGCTGGACAGTAAGGACTGGCTGAAACAAACACACACACACACACACACACACACACACACACACACACACACACACACACACACACACACACACACACACACACACACACACACACACACACACACACACACACACACACACACACACACACACACACACTCATAAAGACAGAGGTCCTGATGGAGCAGCAGCAGCTGAATCATTGTCTTCAGAATTTTTCCGTGTGCTGGTTGCCAGGTTCTGCAGTCTGGGTCATCCGATCCAGATGTGGTTTGGCCTCAGACTCAGAGCAGAGCAGACGCTCTGCAGCAGAATGCAGAACGGACCAGAACCTCTCAGCACTGGGTGTTAGACTGGCACACTGATAATAGGGCCCTGGTCCAACCTCAGCCTTTCAATCAGGATGAGGTCTGGACTTTGACTAGGCCACTGAAATTCCTCAATTCTCCTCTTTTTCAGCCCTTCTGTCATTGACCTGCTGCTCAGTTTGAGACTCTGGTTCTGTTGAAGACCCAGTTTGGACCAAGCTTCGGCTGTAGGACAGAAGGACTAACATTGGACTCTAGAATACTTTTGGCTGCAGTCAATTACAGCAGAATCCCACTCAACAGTTGGTATGTGGTGTTTGGTCTCTTCCATCGCGGTTCTGTCCATCATAGTTCAACATCTCCACTCTGGTCTCATCTGTCCAGAGGACTTTGCCCCATAAGTCTCGTCCTTCTTCCACATGCAGTTCTGCTGACCTCAGTCAGGCAGCCATCTTGTTTCTAGAGAAAAAAAAGGCTCCTCCCTTGAATCTTCCCAAGCAGCTAGAATGGTTCATGGTCATGATCTTTGACTTTGACCAGCTAACTGAGGCCTATGGAGTATGAGATGGAGCGCTTCGGTTTCAAAATTATACAATTTATATTATGTGAAATTATTTTAACTTTAAAGTTTGCTCAGTAAAAATCAGAGATTCATTGTAGAAGATCATGACAGCTGAAATAATGTATTTTTCCACCTTAGTCATGTTTTCAAACCCTTCCACCTGCTTACTCCTCGTTCCCTCTCAGATCACCCCCCATTAGTTATGACTGCAGGTCAGTACCTGGACAGGAAGCTGCTGAGGCTCTGTAGGTCGCTGGAGTCCAGGGCCAGGTTCAGATCTCTGATTCTCCGCTCTGTTCTCGATCCATCCTGCAGACATGACATCCATCAGTAAAAACAGTCCACCATCTGCTCCAGTTAGCTAACAGTTCCAGCTTCAATCCTGTTTACACAAATTAGAAATTTACTTTGACTTTCCCAAATTAGAAAAATTATTTGAAACTATTTTATGATTATATGTGTGAACAGTTTCAGTTCACACATGCATGAAGTGTCCAATATATGGTATTAGATATTAAGGAGGGGTAGACTAAGGCATGCAGGACTGAATGCAGATATGTCACTCCACTGAGAGGACAAATGCAGAAAAAAACACAGGTGGAGACAGGACAGCATGAACAAAATCAGAACTTTATTTCCGTCTAGGAATGGACAACAATATATATCATAATATAAACATGCTCAACATCAATAGATCATACATCCAATATATGGAATATTCACTAATCCAGAAACACACCACATTCTGGGAGATGTAAGCTTTAGTCACTAAAACTCTAACAACCAGCTAAATACATTTGGTGGAATCAACTATTTCACTCATTCTTTGGTTACCTAGAAACAACTTGCTGAGAAACTTGTGCAGAAGCAGTTTCAGGTTTCACCACCTTAAAAACAAAAGACTGTGCCATGGAGTGAAAACTGGATAAAACAGAAAAGGTCATGCTCCGAGTTTGGCAGTATTTCATATATTTAAAACAAAACAAAAAAAGAATTAATAATTATCAATATCAACTGATGTGAAATGCTTTTTTATGATTTTTTTATGATGAAAATGTTTTACATCTTAAAAAATTTTCAGCCATATCGTCCATCCATCAAGTCCATCTTTTCCAAAAGCTTGTTTGTTGTTTGGGGGACTGTTTTTCATATCCATATCCGGTGGTAATGGAGTATTTTAAATTTATTATGCGAATAATTGATTTAATTACTTAAGTACAAGTCATGAGCATCATTCCTAAAGTTTCAGGAGTAGCTGAAATCACTGATCTAATTATGGCTCTCTGTCCCCCACTGCTGGCTAAACCCTGAACTATTTTCTAATATTTCTCTCTACAGATCTCCTCGATCCATCAACTGACACTGATCTGGAGCTAACAAGGACAAAAAGCAAAATCCCATCTCCTCCTTCTGACCTAAATACAGCCAGAGAAACAACAGTCACAAGAAAATTAAACAACAAAGAGACTGAGAGCAGCTGCTGGTCCCAGAGCCAATATCAGTAAAACAACCTTAACATCAAGAGAATAAAAAAACTCACCTTGAGCTCAGAAAGCTGGAACTCCACCTGGAAAACCAACTCAGAGCTGCAACCTGACAGACAGACCTGGTGGACCACCTCCGGACCGCCTGGCATACACACAGAAACAAATAACACCAGACTTTTATTCTGAAAGAGAAACTGGGCATCTGACTAAAGTAGTGTAAGTAGTGTCCAGCAGATTCTCTTCCTTACAGCTCTGCAGGGTCTTTGTGATGCAACTGTTCAGGGTGATGCCATTCATCTGAGTCTGCAACTTCAGGTCCTTCTCCAGCTCCTCCACCTCCTCCTTCAGCCTGGACACCACCATCTCTTCCAGGTCCTGCGTCCGTCCACAGACAAACGCTCTGCAGAGACAGTCAAACATAATTTCTCTCTGGTACTCAAACATGGAAACTGATGGAAATAAAAGGAGGTAAACTCACATAGCGTTCTGCATATGTCCCCTGAACTGAAAGGAGATATTTCCCCAGCTGTCCTGTCGCTGCTGTTGCAGCGCTCTGATCTCCTCCTCCAGCTGCTTCACCTCAGCCTCCAGCTGCTTCACCTCCTCTGCATTCTCCTCACTCATCTTCCTGAGGAGTGTTGTTGCTGTTTCCTCCAGGAAAAACAGCAACAACACTCAGATGTAGGCCTGTCACTATAACTAATTTTGCTGGACGATAAATTGACCCAAAAGTTTTTGCAATAATCAATCAAATTGTTGTTTTGATACCATTTTCAAGTATTTTAATACATTCTCAAAGATCAATAAACTTTAAATCCTAACGAGCCTTTAACAATGGACATGGAAAACATTTCAAATACCCTAAATAAATAAACAAAAGAACAGAAACAACAAATAAAATGCATTGTGACATTTCTAGAAACAATACTGTCACTTAAAAAGGGCTAGTTGAAACCAAAGCACCAGACTGAAGACTTTTGCCATTCAGTTTTTGGTAGAAAGAGAGAGAAGAAAGAGAAAAATGCTAAACCATACAAATGGACGTTTTTGAGCTCATTTAACTTCTAGGATTAGTTTTGCTGCACTTCACTTTTCACTTATTCTTGAGTGATGTTGGTATAAAGTAACTGTCCTCCACTTTAACTGGAGAACAATGTCTGGCTAACCTATTAAGTTTATACCTTTGAATCAATAACACAGCAAACAGACTTACAATTTATGTGAAAGTAAAATATATTAGTTCTACATTAACTTGTTTTTCTAATGTTATTTCCATCCGCGAAGTTTGTTGCTCTTACCCATTTCTGTTCAAAACACGTAAGAACTGTTACGTTCAGAAAATAACCAACAAAAATTACCATTTACCATATTTATTTATGAAGAAACACAATCAAATTGAATTTATACGGAACCGGAGAATTCTACACAGTAAATTCGGCCACATGATTGTTTCCAATCATAAAAAGGCTAATTAATTTAAACTTTTTCCCTACCTGGTCTGAGTGTCCCAGCTGATCTCTGAAGCTAGCTGTTTGCAGCCTCCCGCTCTCTGGACTGTACCACCTCGGTCTGAAATTAGGGGGTCAGACGGTGTCGCTGTCGAATCCTTATTGAGTGCTTCTGTTGGTACCATAAAAACAAATATAAGTAAACGCAAGCTAAATTTCATAAAATAATGCGTTAATGTTGGTGATACAGTGTCAAAATAAGATGTGTTCGGGCGCAAAAATGTGAAACGTCCCCTCTTCAATTTCACAGTAGATAGGACACAAGAAATGTCTTGACGAAAGCCGAAAAACTCTGTTTCGCTGCAGGAATATAATTTTGCATATGTATTATACTTGATAACTAAAATGTGTTGTCTTCTAAGTGTTTCTTTTAATCTTTTACATGCTGGCATTGTGTTTTTTTGCATTAATATAAAATATAAAGTACGCGGAACGTTTCCAGCTAAACTACCGGAAGTAAATGTCAGTCGGACTCGAAAGAGCGAGGAACCGGCTGAATACATGTGAGGTAAACATTAGAAATTTCTATTATTGCTGTCCGCTTGTAGATTTTAGAATTAGTTGATATTTTTTGTGATGTGTTAAACATAAAATGATCACGAGTTCATTCTCCTGTTTTCTGTTCTTCTGACCTGTAAAACAGTTTAATGTTACCTGCAAAAATAACTCAAACCTGGATATTGATTCCAGATTCCTCCATTTAAAAAGAACAGCACGACCACTAGACTGCCGTCAGCTCCTTTATGCATTTGATCTTTTGTTTGAGTTTACATAACACGCAGTTTCTTTTAGATTTTATTCCCAATACTTTTAACAGTGTTTCCCATCCTCCTTCAAGCAACTTGGGACTTATGATCAATGTATTTTGAATATTTTATGTGTTTATCCTATTCATAAACCCTTGGACTGTTTACATAGTTTCATAAAAATCGAGCTATGTCATATCTTTATTGTTTTTTTATTGTATAGTTTGATTTGATTACATTTTTATTATTCCCACGAACCAAGACCAGGACAGGTCAGTTAGAGGTTATATATATATAAACATTTTCTTTTTTGTTTACTGTTATTAAACTGATTATCCAAAGTGACCTACAAAATGTTGATGAACTAATGAGTTGAACAATTTAATAAATATATTTTCAGAGAAAAATGATTAAACCCTAAATCCCTTTTGACTATAGAAACAGAAATGCTTGTTCACAAAAGAAGCTGCTCCATTGTCTAACATCTCTGTCTCCTTTAAGGTTTGATGCTGAAATAAGTGATGCTGCTCCACACACATCAGTAGATATCTGGATGGCCGTGTTTGCTACATGCTGCTGGTGTTTGCTGTTCCTGAAGTGATTTTGGCTTTGTCGATTCGGCACAATGCGGCGGCTTTACATCGGCGGGTTGAACCACACTGTCACCCAGAAGGATTTGAAGGACCGATTTGGAAAGTTCGGAGAGGTTCTGGATGTAGAGCTGCGGACCAGGAGGGATGAAAAGGGTGAGAATGCTCCTGATGGTCTGAGAGTTGTAAAATAAGTTAATGTGTTTCAATATCATCTTAATGGTTAATGATACCTACAGTTTTCTCTATTTTGGTTCTTTATTTATTTTGATTTGAAAACTGGGTTGTCTTTTCACCAAATTAGTGGATATAATTTTTCTTTGAATGTTTGCTGGTGCTGAAAGCTTAAAGTTCTGCAATATTTCCCAATCAAACAAAGAAATGGATAACTTTAAGGGTTTCTGGTTAAAATCAGGATTCTTCTGAGAGTCTCCATCTGATGTCCCGACGCTATTGTCCTATTTTTTTTCTGCAGATGTTCCTTACAAAACATTCGCTTACATCAACATCAACATTTCTGAAGCAGACCTGAAGAAATGTAAGTCAAGAAACTTCTACAGCCAGTATTTCTATCTTGAAGCAGCTGCAGGAAACTTTCTCTGTAAGATAAAATGATTCTGTCCTGTGATCTGATGAAAGACAGATATTGTCAGACATGTAATATTATTTCTTTATGACCTTCAGAACAGTCAAATAATAGATTTTTATCTAAAATAAAGAGTATCTTGTTGATGACAATGATGTAGGAAGTTCTTAATGAAATTAATCAGTTCTGAACCTAATTAGAACAGATTCAGAGGAGGTGAAATTTTCTCCATCTCCCAGTTTTTCTGTTTACTCTCTGAGATTTATATGACATCAGAGTCTAGGTCATTTTCAGTCTTCATGTTTTCTCTGCAGGTATGACGGTTCTTAATAAATCCAAATGGAAAGGAGGAACTCTGCAGATTGAAGCAGCCAAGGAGAGCTTCCTCCAAAGGTTCATTTTGTTACTGAACTCCACATCCTGGGGAGGGAAATTTCATTTTTTACAGAAGAGCTGGTTATAAAATTCAGTAAGCAGAGAGAGATTTATGTCAGTGGCCTATTTACAAATGAAAATCTTTTAAAAAGCTGCTGGATTTATGGATTGATAAACATATTTAGTCTTTGTCCTAGAGATGAACTGATCAGGATTTTACCAACTGATACAGATTTTCAGTTCTCTTAATTTCTGATATGCAGATCAGTTTTGAATAAATAAGTAAAATAAAAATCAAAAATTTGTGCTTCAGTATGTCACAAGTTCATCACAGATCAGACCTGATTTAAGGAGAAGTTGGCCGGTTACCATTAGTGGTCAGTTAATTAAAAATAGCATCTAGTAATGTTTATATTGTGATTTTATGACTGTTTAGTTATTGTAGAGATAACAACTTTCAATGTAGGTTTTATGATATTAACCTGTTTTATTAACTAATCTATTAGGGAGTATTGATGGAAACTAGCTTAAACTCAATGTGGTCCAAAGCATCTTTTAACAGTGTTTGCACATTATCCCTGTGTTAAATGAACAAAAACAAATTCACCGGTTCTTAGAGTGAGAACATCAGAGACTTTCAATGGAAATTTTTAAAATAAAAGAAACTCTATTTTATATAAAAGATAAACATGGACAAGACATTATGAAATCAAGGCTATGATGCATTAATTTTCCTTTTCTCATTAAAGTTTCTCGGTGAAACTTTAATCAGCAGTCAGTAAAAACAAACACTTAATTTGTCACAGCTTGTTCTCCTTAATTTATCTCTTTCCCCATAAAAAATGAACTCTACAATACATCAGGCTGTTTGTTTGTTTTAAATAAATACTCTGCCTCAACTTTTAATAACAATAAAGTAAACATTTTACCTTTTAAAATATTGTATAAGTTTATGAAAAGCTCTCAGTATTTTAGGAAATAATTAGTATTTTCTTACAAACCTAAATCAGTCAAAAACCTCGGTTATTTTAACAGAATCAGTTTTGATGATCAAGAATCTGATGCTTTAATTACCAGAAAGAAAAAGATGCCATTTGATTAAACTATAAATATATTTTATAATGTTTGATTTCATTTTTGAGATAATGTTCTGTTTACCAGCTGCAGCTGATCTGCTGATCTCCAGCAGTCATTGGTTGAGATTCAAAATCCACCATCAAACAGTTATGAATACACTCACCTCTTGGGACAATTTAGAGACCAGTTAACCCAACACTTGTATTTTTGGATTGTTTGAGGAACCTGGAGTGCCAGAAGTTACCCATAATGCAGAGGGAGCGCATGAAAACTGCATTATTAAGTTAATAAATGTGCTGCAGGTTGGCTCAGGAGCGTCAGGAGGCAGCAGAACATCATCTTGAAAGATCTGTAAATGAAGCAAGGAAGCAAAAACTTCTGGATTCATGGAGCAAAGCTGGAGTGGAAAACTTCACCATGAAGGCTGCGGTGCCGGGATCTGAAGTACCAGGACGTAAGGTTGGTTTGTCAGCTTCTTCCTGTTCCTGATAAATCTGCTGAGATGTTCCTCATCTAAATATGAAAACCTCTCAGAGTTTTCCTCTGTTCGTCAGTCTGGATGTTTGGATCTCAGTTTGTTTCATCAGCAGAGCTCTACAGTGTCCTCATGTCTCCACTAACCTCACCTGGTACCTGTTCAGGATAAACACATCTGGATCGGCTGTCAGAACCAAACTAAAGTCCACATCATCCACTTCATGGTGCATTTAGTGTGTAGTTTCTGGAATTATTTTTAATCTGAGCTGAAAACAAGCAGATCATCAGATCATCTTCAGTTTACTGTTTAAATCACAGTTTCAATCTGATCAATAAGGTTTCATTTGGACTTTTTGATCTTCGTGCTGAGAACACCAGACCTGCCGTTTGATCACTCAGATATTCATAGGGAGAATCTTTACTTCATTCCAAGAGCTGAACAATGGAAACATCTTGTCAGTGAAGGTGTGTGTGAAGGTGTGTATGTGTGTGTTAGTATCCAGATCAGAGAACGACAGCTTTCCTCCGTCCCAGTCCAGATTCACTCTGATCCTCTGGAGTTTATTCTGGACTGAGAGAAATGTGGGAGGAGCTGGTGAAGACCATGCTTTATATTCACCTTTACAGAACAATATAACCAACCATCCAGACTGTATGCCTCCCTTCCTCTGGACAGACTCTGCTATCACTCCAAGCGTCCAGCCTTCTCTGTCTCCAACATCAACATCCCAGCTGTTGTTCCCGGAGTTAAAACCCTCAAAGCTCAGAGCAAAATACACTAAATCCAATCTCTCTGGATTATCAACGATCACAAACTGATTTCTGCTTTAGTTCAGGTAGAACAGATTTGGGGGGGAGCTTAAAGCTGTTAAGACATGTTGCCTCACCCATAATCAAGGTGTGTTTTGTTACAATGTCCAAAATCCAACATTTGAGCCACTATAAAACTCACTGATTAACAGGTTTTATTTTTCTCTGCTCAGATCGAAACAAAACCTGTAATAAAGATGGTCGAATAAACTAGTGATTTCAACCCTGATTGAAACTTTTTACTAAGATCTTCATCATCCAATGACCAGTGCTGCTCTTCCTCCAGACCCACTGCAGCAACAACTCAGTTTTTGTTGCTAAATGTATTTTTAATGTAATGCTTATTATTCTCTGATTTAACTTTTTGTTAAAGACACAATCAGATATTTTGG